GACACGATACCGCCCGATTTCCACATCAAAGCAGCCGAGTTCCACAGTGATTGGGAAGCATCAGACATCCACCATCGCCTGGTAGCATTTCTAGAGGAGCACGCCGGAACCACCACGCAAGTCGATCAAATCATCTGCTTCGGCCTCGTCAGCCCCGTCTCAAGCCGCCATCCTAGAATACTGCGCCGCGCATACACACAGCACCTAGCCGCATGTACCATACGCGACCTCTTCGCACGGCATCAAAACAGCCCTGCGCCCAAAATTCTTGCACAGGACCCTCGCTACACACCAATCGATATGGCATACCTATCCACGCACTTCTCCACAACCACCCTCCCCGACCCCGAAGCCTTCCGCGCACTCAACGGCACCACGTTTGTCATCAGTATTTCACCCGACGTACCCGTTCGGCAGGTCGCGCTTGGCATGACGCATGATTCAGGCGGGCCGGCGGGATTTCTTTGCTGCGCGATTGAGGATAACGGGCTCGGGTGTAAGAGTGTGACTATGCAGAATGGAGAGGAGGTGTTTCGTTTCACGGATAACTCGAGTCCGGGGTTGTGGGAATTCAAGCAGAAGGGAGTGTGGGCTGAGTGGGATGATTTGGAGGGAGGGGAGGGTAGAGGATTGTTTTGGGAGTGTGGGGTGTTATTTGAAGAGGAAGTGAGAATGGTAAGAGTGGCACGAAAGGCATGTGGGGAATCTTTTTGCACGAATCAACGAGTTCAAATCGCGCTGAGTATCGCAAAGGGTTTGCTGTGGAACTATTGGCACGGATCAAGGGATTAGGAGTGAGGTGTCTACTGCAAACAATTGATTATAGAAATCTTCTACCAGCCGTTGGGAACGGTTGACATTGTCCTACCCTTTCTCAAGCGGTAAAACTCGTCCAACGTCCGCCGAGAACGCCTACCCTTGAGCTGCTCCTGGTTCTGGTGGACGAAGTCGCGTTGGACTGGCTCTGCGACGAACACACTCTTGTATTCAAACTCGTTACCCACAGACCACGAATTTCGACGGCTATCCATCGAAGTCACACTGGTCTGCGTGGTGTCGCCGTCGTCGCACATAGACCAAAAGCTGCAACAGTCATCGGAAGAACCATCACTGACCACGTCTGACGAGACTTCGTCGAAGTCTGCGAATAGCGATTGGTCAATAGCTTCGGCATACTCGTCTTCCCAAAGATGCGCGAAGCGAGCCATGCAGCCCTCGTTGGGGCTGGCAAAGAGCATTACTGCGCACTCGGGATGGAGACCGAGCCAGTCAGGTGTTTCTTCGACCACAGCAACATCGTGATCAATGTATTCAGCACGATAGGACTTGATAGGATGACCCCCATGTAGTTTCGCCTGGAAGCATACTCCAAGATCCATTCGCGCGAACACCATCGGGCTGTCCACGCGCAATGATGGATCATGATCTACTACAGGCTGCTCATCAGCGTGACTTTCACGACTTGAAGCAGCAGGATCCACCGAGGAAGAGTCGAAATCGACCGAGAAAGCCAGTCGATGGCTGACGGGACGAGCCGTTGCAACGACATCTCGGGTCTCCACAAACGAACCAGGCAAGAAGTCCGATCCAATAGAGAGCGCTCGTCGATGGGTGGCAGGGCGGGCCATGACCATAACTTCATTTTCATCTTCATATACAATAGATGAACTTGACAATATCGTGCGTTCCCCAGCTTGCCGAGCTTGGGGTAGAGCGATCCCGGCCTCATCGTCTTCATCGGAGGACGAAGTGGACAGTACCATCCGTCTGTTCTGCCGAGGCTGGAGAATTGTCCTGTGCTCGTCGTCCGAATTGTCATTAGGGACAGTGGCGGGGCGAGATGTGGCAGAGGGGTCTACGCGCTCTTCATTCAGGCGATCCTGAATGACAGTACCGAACTCGTACTCATAACCATCATCGGAATTGTCGCTGGAACTAGCAATGGAGTTGGTGGAAGACTGTCTCACGGGCATTTCACTGTCGACTTGGTGGATACCTAGAAACTGGAAAGATTCAATAGTCGGTTGTGGTCGCCTTCCAGTGACCTGCTTGACTATGGCAATCTCATGGGCTTGTGGCTCGGTTGTGTGCTTGCCCACAATGCGCGATGGCATAATGCTCATACGTACACTGGGTGGGAAGGCCTTGACTTGGTAGCGGAATCCAAGGTCTGGTCGCACAGGGAGACGAGCAGCTCCGCCGGCTGCCATAGCCTCCAGGTACTCCCGAAGCTCAGCTTCCGTGTCCTGGCTGAAATCGATGCGGTCCAAAACCGAACCGTTCTGTCGAACAGCGTCTCGAACGGAATCATCGCAATCTTCAGACATATCACGCATGTTTTCGCGTCCTTCACGAACTAGCGTGGCGGATGGAAATCTAATCATCACCATTGGTATTTCCATCTGTGGTTGGCGATTCACTCCTACAAATGGGGACAATTCGGTTTGAGTAGCCCGCACTGGAGCCTGCTGTCGCACGAACCAGCTTTTGATCGAGCCGAGACATCCACGGGTCTTCTTCGTGTTGCGAACTCTGCAGGTGGGATACGATGCAGAAACCATCTTTATGGTGATTAGCGATATGAAGTTGGTAAAGACTGGAAGATTTGGATGTTTTGATGCTTGTCTATTTCTATCGAAAATGCGATGCAAGTTTTGATGAGAAAATCAATGTCCACGGCAAAAGATCTTCATATAGTCCATTTAGATAAATCATGTTTGTCCACATGGTGGAAAAGTCCATGCAAAGTTTGTGTACAATTCGTGTGGTTTGTTCACAATGTCGATTAGTAGAGAGAATCACGTGGAGCTACTGTACATAGGTTGAAATGGATGGTATATAGTTTTTGATATTGTGCAGAGCGATGGGGATGGCTTTTGATATTGTGCAGAGTGATGGGGATGGCCCCCCTTATATACTGATGGCAAATTTCAAATACATTGTGCGGAGACATAGTTCGAGACATCTCTGGCGTGTCTTACGCCGTGTCTCAACCTCTCTGAATCATCATTGTGTTCTATACAGACACGGAATCGACGTCGATGCTCTGCCATTCCCAATTTCGCACACATCTCGTTATATTATATTGTGTTGACTTCTTCAAAAATGTATGTACCCATCTCAGCTATGTTTTCGTTCAAAGTTTACCCACAGTGCGTGCTTCGTACATGTACAATGTCGTAACTTCGCTCCATAACTATTCCTTCCACACTTCGTACAGATGGTCTCCGTCATAGCAACGGCGTCCGATACGCAATCCAAGACGCTCACTTTCTCTCAACACACTCACCTTCAACTACAGGCTCAACCTAATTCCAATCACATATTCTCCTATACCATCAAAACAGATGACGAGCGATCAGGACTTCATGTTTGGAGGAGAGGCCCAGGTACCAGATCACTGCATGATAGATGATGGTAACTGGAATAGTCTCATGGATTACGACTCTTTCATGACGCTCGACGACCCTGCTCTGGACCACTTCTTAGCTAGTCTTGATGAAGACCAAATGCCTTCGCGCATCCTGCAGGCGGGGGCAGATCGAGTTGAGCGCCCCCAGGCCGAGCAAGATCGAGCTGAGAAAATTCGAGCTGACAAGGAACGCGCCGAGCCTCAGGTAGGTCCAATCCACAAATTTTCAGCTCAGAAACCTTCAGCTCAGAAACTTCCAGCTCTGAAAGGCCCATCCCACCCAGGTAGTAGGTATGACGCCTGCATCGAAGAAGCATTTTCCAACGAAAACCTCAAGCAGAATCTTCTCAGGCAGTCGTACATCCAGCCTCCAAGCATAGACTACCCCGACGACCGCCTGCACTACCTCGTGCAAACTCTAGCGCTGACCCAACGCTTCAGTCGCCTGCACCTCCGCTGGTGGAAGATGCCCGTGAAAAATTGGATTCCAGAACTCCAACTCCTGCTCAAAGCCGTCAACGATCCCGCCAGCGGCCTGACTCTCTGGACGCCCCTCGACGAAGTGCTCACTCTCATCGAGAAGACGCTCAAAGACGAGAACCTCCTGACGACCAAGGCCCGCCAGCTCAATCGCTCTAGCATGCGCTGGACGATTGCGGCGGTCATGAAGAAGATTGTTGAGCGCAAGACGGATGAGGTTGAAGAGGAACTTCCTGCGCTGTTGGAGAAGAAGGGCATGAATGCGAGATTGGCTACGAAGTATGTTGTAGATACTGTCCTTCAGGATTGCGAGGATCGCGGATCGTTGATGTTGGGAAGTGTGCCGGGCTTCAGTGACGCGTTTCGACGCCAGAGTGTTAGTAGTAATTGGAGTTGGACAGACTAGACGGTACAAAGTCAAGTCTGATCTCCACGAGTGAAATCAACAAAAACCCGTCAAGGTATAGTGCTTCCATACTTCTAATGGTGTCTAGAGTAAGTGATTAAAACAAGACAAAGTTATATCACTAAAAAACAATGTCCTGTGATATGCGAGCACTCTCCCTGGTGGTCGACATCACCTGAACAGTTTGGGAAGAAAATACACAGCAAAAAACAATAACAATTACAATTGTCGAGCAAAAAGATATTTTCTTTTCTAAGCTATCTAAGGTTCCCGCTGTGCCAGGACCTATATGTACAATGAAAGCTTCAAAATATTGCGTCGAGCTTGATTTCGATTCTTCAAGACCAGCCCTCCAAATGCCATCACACTCCGTTCTCTCTAGTTGACCTTGGCCTGTGCCAAGTTGGTAATCTGCTTAGCACCGTCCTGGATCTGGCCGTTGGCAGCCTGGAAGCGGCACAAGACGCCGGATCGCTCGGGCACGTTGTTGTCGCAGACGAGCTGGTTGTTGGCGACGCAGTTCAGGGCGCCGTTGCCTGAGTGTTGTTAGTATTGGTGATTGAGGAGAGGTTGATGGAGTAGACTTACAGGCAGCGGGACCTCCGGGCACGCACTTTCCAGCGGCGCCGTTGACGGTGCAAGCATCCTGCTTGAGAGACTGGTTGGGGATACAGCAGGCGCCGTTGGCGGCCTGGCGGGTCTCGAGGTCGGCACGGGCGACGTTGTAGACACCCTCGACATCAGCGATGGCGGCGGAAGAGATGGCAACGAGGCCAAAGAGAACGGCGGTGATGGAGAACTGCATTTTGTCTGAGGTGTGTGGGGTTTGTTGTATAGTGGTGGTTATTAGAGATTGGATGTAGTTGGGAGTGTTTGAGTGAAAGTAAACCGCACAGCGGGAAAGAATAGACAAATGTAGATCTGGAAGTTTGAATCGGAAGACTGGCTTGGGAATGGATATTCAGAAACGGCTGTTTGCCTGGTACTTATACTGCAGTCTCTATACACGTCCGATGCCATCCCTGAATAATTGACACGAGAAGGATCGTACGCGAGGTGTCAAGCGGCTGTCCAAATTGAGCCGCACCGTTCCCAAGTGTCTCACGAATCACCAGCCCAGCGGCAGTGCGTCCGCATCTGACGGCAGCTATCTTACATCTGGTAAACCCCTTGGTCCTGGCTGAACCTCCTGGGCACGGAGGAAGCGCTTCAATTCACCCAGGCCCGCAGGGGTATAGCCGCTCGACCCGATTAGACGGTGTGAGGTATTATGCGACAGCAGGTCCAGACGAGCGATGTGGGGCATGCCGTTTGTCGTGAAAAAAAGCTTGTATGTACCGAAGCCTTGGAGAACAAGCTTAGCGCGATCGTTTTGAGACAGTGACACAAACGGCAAAAGACGCAATTCGTGGAATCAGAACAAATGCATAAGATTTTGCATTAGTGCTGATCAATGCTCAAACGGTGCCGCATTGTGGCTACGTGAGACGTTGGAAGTTGTGAGGCATGCAGAGACTTCGGTAAACCTGAGGCTGAAGCACACCTGAGGCTGTTGTGAGACAAAACGCACCAGAAACGAAGGTTGGAAGGATTCCGCACTTTGGCGGGGCTATCTCCGAACTTGCGCAGCGTTTTGAGATCTAGAGCGATTGATTGCTTCTATCGGTGCGTCTCTGGTGGGTTGCTCGTGTCGTGGTCTGACAGTTGGCAGTGGCAGCTGTCAGGGGCCAGCAGAGGCAAAGCCTTGACACGTGACTGGGACACGGTCCACCAGTAAACCATCATCCAGGAAGAAACTCCGTTGGTCTTCATCCCATGCTCAATGTGCATCACAACTCCATCTCGGGCCATTCGTATTAAGTACTACTACTCGAAACCTCTTTTGAATGAGCTATGGCCGACGAAATTAGAACGATGCCGCAATCAAGTCATGACAGTTGCCTCGTCCAGAAGCAAGTCGCGTACTGCGATATTCAGCAAGCATACACCATCATTTGACGAGTGCATCCATGCTGCCAAAATCTCTTTTCTCTCGTCAATCACTGCGAATGTGACATTTATTCCTGCTCTCCACGAGCACCTGGTTTCGGACAACGCAGCTTATGAGCTGTGAAGGCGTCCAGAGTGTAGATCAATGGTCTTAGCACGAGCAAACTGTACCATATTAGCAAGATCCATCAACGAAAAGTAAAATCACATACCTTCGTCTTATACACCAACTTCCAAATAACAATCGGAACGATGAAAAGCGGAATGCCAATATACGACGCGATGAAATCACCCGTGCTCCAGTTCCCTTTCAAGAAGACCGGAAATCCTGTAATAAAGACAATGATAGTCGATCCGACAAACCCATACCACGCACTGAAGGGTTGGAACGGGCTCTTCCACGGTAAGCTATCGCGACTGAGTCCTTGCGCTTTCATGGCGGCGTGGAAGCGAATGTAGCAGAAACACAATGTCGCCCACGCAATCAGCCCGGCGACGGTGCTGAGGCTCACCAGCCATCCGAATGCTTGTGCGGCGCCGCCAGATCCCAGGCTGAGATATGCGAGAGGGCCAAAGAGCCATGAAGCTAGCACGGCATAGTATGGTACACCGTTCGACCAGGTTCGGCCGAAGATTTGGGGGAGCTGCCGGTCGGTGGTCATTGCGACGATTATTCGTGATCCGACCCAGCAGTAGGAATTACCCGCTGACCAGGCAGAGATCAGGATACAGGCGTTTACGATGGAGGGAAGGGCGGTTATGCCGGCCTCTTTGATGGCGATGACCCAGGGCGAGGAGTTGGCGTTTCCGGTGCCTGACACAAGGCCTGGATTCCTGGGGTCGACGATGAGGCCGATGAGAAGAGCACCGAGGATGTAGAACAGCGCGATGCGGTATGTGACTCGTTTGGCTGACAGCGGAATTGCGACGTGCGGGTTGATGCTCTCGGCCGCCGTAATGACCACGACCTCGACACCAATGAAGGAGAACGATGCGTTTACGAACGCAGCCAGAAATCCCAGAAAGTGACCTGTCGACCCAGAGATTCCGTTGTAATCCACCCAGGCACCCGGATTGTTCCAATATCGGAAGCCAATGGTCTCGTTGTTTGGTGCGCCTCCAGACGTTATGACAATGGAAACAAGAATGAGACCAAGGAAACACGCGACCTTGATCGAACCAGCAACAACTTCCGACTCGCCAAACCAGCGCACACTCATCAAATTGATCGCCAGAATGAGCACGAGACTGATGGTAATGACGATTGCGGGCGACATATCCGTCCAATACCCCACGAGAATCGCAGACGCCGAACACTCAGCCGCAATAGAGATGGTGTAACAATACCCATAGCTTATCGCCAGCGAGAAGCCAACTGCTGGGTCAATAAACCGACTTGCGAAGTGCGGGAACGATCCAGCCGTAGGGATCTGATCTTTGTGAGTACGTCGGACTGTTGAAATGAAGCAATGCGAATACATACTACAGTAGCTAGCTCGGCAATACTCTGCATTACGCACCATAGTACACTTCCGACAACAAGATATGCGAGCAATAAGCCTGCCGGTCCGGCATTCGCATACGCAGACCCCGTGCCGATGAAAAGTCCTGTCCCAATCCCAGAACAAAACCCAATCATCGTGACATGGTAGTTCTTCAGCCGGCGCTGCGTAGCGCCATGCCCGCCGACGTTTAATTGCGGCTCGAGGATGGGTTTGTTATCCGAGTGGGAATCATGGTCAGTGTGCGGCGCACTCTCGATGTCGTCCAACATGATTGCGGAGAATGGGGGTGCGCAAGCGAAAATGCCACCATACGGCTACAATTACGACGACATTATGTATTGTAGTAACTGCGTTCTTTTCTTGCCCTTGTCACGCAGGAAATTCTCTTCGGCGCCGTTCAAAGCACGTCATGTAAATCTGCTGCAAGAGCCTGGACCACCCTGTGGTGGCGCTGCAGCGAGTTTGTTGAACATGTTTGCGAACGACAGAGACGGTCCGGCCAGTTGAAACCTTGTTCGAAGTTGTTCGAGCAAGCGATTGAGTGTATATCTGATAGTAACTAGAGCGGGTTTGTTCAGTTGCAAACGTTGTCTTGACAGGATGGATAAAGCATGGCCATGTGATTTGTTAGGCGGGCTGGTCCGCTGCTGAAGTGGGAATGTCCGAGGTATGTGGATTTTAGCGCGTGAAGTTTTCTCTAGATGGTTCGCCGCGCGGATAGATCCTAGTTGGATCAGCTCAACAACGACATTTTTAGGAAACTTTGACACATGACGGTTATGTCGTGCTGCAAGGGCCATGGTACGTTTCTACAGGGATCATACACATTTCAATGCGAAGCGGAGTGCCGAGAGAAGTGCTCGAGCAGTTTGATTTGCCGGCACTAGTACTATAACGAACGACGATCTGAAAACGATTACGCAGCTTCAAGCTATACTTGCCGTCGAAGTCAAAACCTCGTAATACTGTGCATACCTCCGGGTTATTTAACGGCCCTGCTCAGATTGAACATGCAGCCTACACCAAAAAGACAACTCAACCGGGGTTTAAGCTTCTGGTAAACAATCTCGTCGAAACCACTACATCGAACACAGTGTGAGTGGTCAGAATATCCAGATACACTTTGCTTTACAGCAGTCAATTCATTTCATCACCTTGGGCAAAGATCACTATCGCCCCTAAAACACATCCTTTACTACTCTTCCACCCCCGTGATGACAGTAACATCATCCCTGAATGCACTACCGCCCTCACACCAACTCCCCACCGCCCTACTCCACAAATCCCTCCCCTTGAACCCCGCCTCATCCTCTCCCCAGCCGCGAATCTCCGCCATCAAATCGTCCTTCTCCCTCCGCCCCGCCACATCCGTCAATCTAGTCAATTCCGTGCGCGACGTCATGACCACCGCGCCGGACTTGGCCAGCTGCCGAAACGACTGATACTCGCGGCGTATGTAAAGATTTTGCGGGACGAGGTGCTGCACGCCGCCGGAGAAGAAGTCTGCGGGGCGCGGGATGTGCAAAGTTGATGTGAGCGGGGTGGTCAGGGAGAGGGTTTGGATGAAGGTTGTGTGGCGGGTGTATAGGGTCGTGGGGGTGTAGGGGAGGTTGAGAATGTCTGGGAGATCTAGGAATGGATTAGTAAGATAGTGGTTTTGGGGAAAGGGGTGATGGACGAACCGTGCCAGAGAGGTAAGGGCTCGAAGGGGTCGTTGATAATGGATGAGAGGGATTTCCCGATGTGGTGGCGGAGATTCCATCCAGCCGGGAAGAGCGTGGCGGATGCTTGTCTGGATGGTTATTAGCAACTCATACTTTAAGTTGAACGATGGACATACAAATACCACCCCAAAGTAAACTCCCCCCTCCTCCAAATGCAAAAGTCCTCCACTGCCAACCGTGCACACAATCCCAACGGATGACAATCGAACGGCCTCACAAGCGCATACTCCTTACTTGCAAGTTCGTTCCTGACATGTCTTCTCCTACCCTTCAGCTTCGCAGTAAAGTGATCCGGATGAGCCTTGCATAGATGCTGCACCACCAGATCCGCCAGCTCTTCACACGCAGCTTCGCCATCGTGCCGCACTTGTACGCAATCAGCCTGCTTGCGTTCGAGCAGCGACATGCGCGCTTCGTGGTGTTCAATGTACGAGTTATTAATCGTCAGCCATGCGCTCGTGTTATTGACTTTTTGCAGTCCGAGCTGGCGATAAGTCAACGCCGCCCAAGGCTCCACAGGCGCGATGGCATATGGGACTTCAGGAAACTCGGAGCCGTCGCCGCAGTCGTCCTGGTCGAAAGTTGGGAGGCGCGAGATACGGCGTTCTTCAGCGAGGAATTTGCGGACGCGGGCTGGGTCCGCGTATTCTTGTGCGATCGCGTTGTCAAATGGCTCGTCTGAGTCTTCGATAGTGATCTTGGGGATTGTGCGCCACTCTTCTGACGCATCTGGCACCGCGTGGTCGTCAGAGAAGGGGTTTGTTGGTTTTGTGGCGAGGTGAGCGACGGCGGGGAAGACGGTATTACAGTTGAGGTGGGCGACAGTGGGAAAGACGGTGTTGCGGCCATTTTTGATAGTAGGAGGAGGCAGTGACTGCGCCTGCGCCGGCTCTTTCTCCTTGCGGTGATGCGGTATGATGATGAACTTCTCTGGCACTGGGCCCAGGGCGCCTTTGTAGAACCAGAGGCGCACGCATACGGTGCCGATCCAGAATGACCATGCGCAGAGGCCGATGACGATGAACAGGAGGACGTAAAGTGGGACCGGGACTGACGCCTTGTGCTCTTTCTGTTGCCCCATATCAGCGGAGAACACTTCTTGGTGGTCGCGGTGGATTTGGAAGGTGTGTCTGGTAGAGTAAGGCGCGTCGGCATGGAGTCACCGGCTTGTGGCGGGTTGGTGTGAAGAGCCGAAGTCGAGGTGAAGGGCGAACATCAAATTCATGCGGCACTCATATTCGCTGGGTACATGTAGGCTTGACAGACTCTATTTTCGTGGAATGAGGTAGCTGCAAGTAGAAAAATGTGGGGGAAGATGCCTGATTATATGTTTATCACCGGATTGTAGAAAAGTGTTTGACACTCCTTAAAACAGAAAATGCAGCCCGCGGGAATGGTATATCGCAAACGAAACGCCGATATAGAAACGAAACCATCTACACGCGAACCTCTACTCACTCACAACCTACTTTGTCTGCACAAGCGCGTCCACCTTGGCATACAACTCCTTCGGGTCCTCAAAAACATACCACACCTCCTTCGGCACGCCCTTGAACGCCTTCTCAAACCTCTCCGGCGCATTCTTCTTCTCCTCATCCATGCCCTCGACACCCATGACTTTGCGAATGTAAATCGCGCCAATCCACTTCCCATGCTTCCTGTACGCCTCGCCATACGCCTCGGGATCTGACTGCGTCGAGTCGCCAATCAGGATGAACTTGCGCTTCGGAAACCACTTGTTCACTTTCTCGATGCGGTCGACCTTGTACGCTTCAGTGCCTTGGGTGAGGTTGGCAAGGAAACCGGCGAGGTTCATCCAGCTGGCGTCGCGCAGGATCATGGTGCCGGAGGGGTAGTATTGCTCGCGGAACTCGCGGAGGAAAGGGTAGAGATTGTAAGGACTGGCGGAGAGGTACCAGAACGGCGGGTTATTCAGTTTCTGGACGATGTGCTTGTAGAGTTCGGGCATGCCGGCGATGGGCTCGGGTTCGTCTGCGAAGGTGGTTTCCAAGATGCCAATTGGGGATGAGGTCAGTGTCTTCTTGATGGTGTCGTCGATGTCGCTGAGGACGGCCCAGCCTTTGGGTTCAGCAAAGGTTACGTTGAAGGCTGTGGCGTCGGCGTTGATGGCTTTGCTGGTGATGATCTGGCCGTCTTTGTAGCCGCTTCCGGGAATGGCGATCTCATCGGAGCTGATGCCATCGCGTCCAGAGGGTCCGAGACGGACGTTCACGCCTTGGAGATCAATCTCCACGGCATGCGCGGGGAGGATGGCATCGAGAAGTGGCTGAAGGCGCTTTGCGATGGTGCCTTTCTTGTCTTCGTCGTCTGCTACACCGAGCTTCTCACTGACCCATCCGACAACTTCTGAGAGGTCCTTGCCGCTGTCCTTCAGAAAGTACGCTGCAACGACCTCGGTTTTCCAGCGTCCGATTCGGTTTTGGTAGGCGGTGGTGTCGAGCAGCCATACATAGTCGGTCTTTGGGTTCACGTTCTCGTAGAATGGATTGTTGCGCCCCAGGTAAGAAGAAAGGTTGTCCTTCAAAGAGAAGGAGAATCGGTTTGCGAGTTTAGGCATGTCGGCTTCGAATGCTTTGAAGTCTCCAGCTTTACGGGTAATTTTGTCCTCTTCGTTCTCCTGCATACGCTGTCTAGCACGTCCAGCCATGACACTTGCGGGTTCGGCCATTTTGAAGGAAACTGGGATTTGTGGACGCCTATGGCTGTTGAAGGTCAGGAGGGGAGTGTTTTGCACGAGACGTCGTGCGGCTGGAGGGCATGCTGGAGTCATATAGCTCCATGGCTACTGCGAGTGACTGTAGCTAAGGCGCTATGGTGCGCATGAATGGCAGGTGTCGAAGCGTATGACGTCTCACCAAGAAGTCGTGCATGTGGCTGATAGATGCTGCGGGGCGATCAGGGAAGATCGTCGCTCCCGCCGTGCCACTTCCCACCTCGCATCATGCCAAAAGAAACGAATGTGCCTTGGAAGAGCTGTGAGGATGGCTGAATGCGTTTAGTCGCTGACGATGACAGATTCGTATGTTTTCTTTCAAGTATCGAGTCTTGATCTGTTTCAAGGTTACCTCAACGTGATGGCATTTAGCGCTTCCCAATTTGAGGCGCACCACACGTGAGGTAGACGTCACAGTAGCTGAAGCCTACCAGTATTTCCTGCATATAGCAGCGCTCACCTCTTCCTTCGTTGGCTTGGTCTTCGCAGTGTCCGAGTGATAGTATTGTACATCTTTCAGACCAGTCTATGCGCATCGACGAAGATGTCAGTGTCATTTGAGTTCGTGATGACGATGAGAAGAACGTTCCTTGATGTGGTTGCTCTTGTAGTGCAAACAGCTTAATCATCACCGCAACCCGTCTGGCGATTACACGTCTGTTAGGTACCGTGATGCTCTGGGTAGGCACGTTTTTGGATAGCTCCGCGTCATTCCCTGTCACACGTGCCATCCTCCTCATCACCCACTTAGGCGCCAGGCCCTCGCGACCCTGCATGAGCTCGCGGAAGCACCCTCGTGCGACAGCGAGTCCCACCCGTGCACCTCCAAGATGTGCCTTCAGACGGGTGATGTGCGCATCTCTGATGATGATCGAACGCGGAGCCCTTGGCACGGAAGACCGCATCGCTAGACACGAACCGCCTCTTGGAGCTGCCAAACGTATGCAGAACCGTAGCGCAGTCGCAGATTCCGTATGGGTTGCCACACGTTGTACGCGGCGGTTGACGTCGTGTGTCCTCGCAACGCTCTTGGCGGTGTGAGGCGCAGCATGCGCGTCCGTGAGCTTGTGCGATTTAGGTGTTGGATGCCTCACGAGCTATAATCCTACACCAAAGCGGTGAAGACATCTATTCGCCCCTGGACCTCCCAGTATCTCTATAGCGACACCACCCAGCAAACTCGTGCAACAGCGCATTGCATCCTCAAGTCACCCTTTCCTACCGCGCCACCACCCCGCGAGGTTATCGCGGACATGGAGCTCAAGAAGCGCCTCAACTTTGGCAGCTTGATGCGCCACCGGTCCTGTGAGTCGCTGCGCGCAACATAAAGACGGGCTGTCACTGACGGCGTCTCAAGCCCAAGACGTACACGTCGACCCGAATGCAGACACACCAGAGAGCAATGCGGCGCGCGGAGTGGTAGGTCGCATCACATCACGTTACTCCACCAGGCGCAACAGCTAACCCGCCCCAGCGACTCTTCTGCGAGTCGGCCGCTGCGAACTCGGTATGTCCATCGCCCCAAGCACGTGAGCAGTTCCTGACAACTTCCAGGGCGAAGAGGTGCTGCATCTCCCCACCATCGTCGAGTCGGCCGTCGCAAGTCCAACCGCTGCAGCCGCCGCCGCCCAGCAGATCCGCAAGTTCCTCTCCAAGGAGAACTACGGTCAGCCACACGTCCAGTACAATGCCGTCATGCTCATCCGGATACTGGCCGACAACCCGGGCCAGTCTTTCACCAAGAACATGGACAAGCAGTTCGCGGATACGGTGAAGCATCTGCTGCGGAACGGACAAGACCCGAGCGTTTCGCAGATACTGAGAGAGAGTCTCGACTCCATGGAGCGCGAAAAGGCATACGACACAAATCTCAACACCATATTCGCCATGTGGAGGAAGGAAAAGGGCCTCATGGCGAACGCGGCGAAGCAGCTGGGACCCCGGAAACTGAATGCGCCGGCATGGAACGGCCAGTCGGTTCAGGGTGGCTTCTCAGAGGATGGACACAGACACAGATCACGCTCAAAGGGGCTTCCGCCGCCAATCGAGCTCGCTGGACGCATCGAGGAGGCGCGGACATCTGCGAAGTTGCTCCTTCAGCTGGTGCAGTCCACCCCAGCGCACGAGCTGATTGGCAACGAACTTGTGAAGGAGTTTGCGGAGCGCTGTACAGCGGCCCAGCGTAGTGTGCAGGGCTACATTGCATGCGACAACCCCGCGCCGGACGACGACACCATGCTCACGCTCATTGAGACGAATGAGCAACTATCCCTGGCTGCCTCGAAGCACCAGCGCGCAGTCCTCCAAGCTCGCCGACTTCAGAGTCCGTCCCCGGTGACGACGCCGCCCATTTCCCAGGTCAACAGCAACAATCTACCACCTCACAATGGAGCGCCAAGTCTGCCACCGGTCAACGCGCCAACAGATATGAGCTACGGACAGCCTCCAGCTTCCACATACTCTCCACCCCCCGGTGCCCCTCACGGTTATGCGCCACCCCCAGCGCAGTCCTCAAATCCTGCCAGCTACAAGAACGATGAGCTGTCTTTACCACCTACCCTGCAAGCAGGCGGATCAAGACAAGGGCCAACCTCGACATCTGCTCCTGCCGACGACAATCCCTTTGGAGACCACCACACATCAACGTTCACTCCACCCACCAACCCCAGAGCAGAGGGCTACGGTGGTTCACCAGACTCCTACCACCCCGGGTTCCAGTCGACACCGTCATATCTCGGAAGACAGGACAGCTCAGCCAACAACCTGACCATGCACGGCGCAGCGCCCCAGATCAAGGAGGAAGATGAGAGCCCATATGACATGCGACAGCCAAAAACACCTGAACTCAATGTCCCGCAGCAACAGACGCAACACGATGTGTCGCCAATTGCCGAGCGCAATACCGTCACATACCGTTACTGAGAAGGTTGTACGCGGACGAAACTCGGATCTGGCCTCGGCGGCTCTCCGGGCGCATGATAAAGACTGACTGATTATTTTCTATTCTCCCATAAACTTGGACATTGGCGAAGGGGTGCTTGGAGAAACGATGCGTACTAGGAGAGATGAAGATACCATAGTTCGCTTTCTAGTGATTCATAATGCCATGATCATCTACCGTTCCACCAGGCTGCGGCAAAATTCGTGCCCGCTCTGCACCTACACGACACAAGCTAATAGTCTATAGAGGCATACTCATTATAACCTTATAGAAGCCTGATGTATGCGCAGCTCTAAAATACTCCACCTGACTCTATTAGAAATCTTTGAATGTATACAGGCTACCTCGTCGCTTCTTTCTGTTTAGAAAGGGCGGGTAGGAATTTCGCCGGCGACTGGTGGTTCGAAGTCACGATGTATGGCGTGCTCTGTTCCATCCCACGCCCATCCTTGCCCCGCACTCCCCAAAGCAGCATGACCTCACCACACCCCACCTGTGTGTTCGCTGCACGCGTGCGTCGCGTCTTGTGCTTACGTGCAGATATCAGCAACCTTGGTGTAACAATAACACCGCCATAGATCCGATCGCGTGAGGCGAACGACACTTACCGAATCCACACGCAAACAACCTTGTCCCAGTCACCAATCTCATCACATACCCGTCTAAGGAAGGCGAGACCTGCGGAAAACACCCCACCTCGCACCCCAAGGCCCGTTTTCTTAGCGCCGAAGATTTATAACGTCCGTCATGTTGAAGTCGTGCACTATTAACGTGCTCCCTGTCGCCCGGTTCGGGTCGTCGCGTTTCTTTGTCGCTCTGCTCTGCTCCTCTTCACTCATGGCAATGCGCTGTCCATGGCTCCCGGTGACCTCGCGCGATGCGAATTTGTTGATACGGTGATTGTTGGTATGTTTGAAGCCTTCTTCTCTGCATTTCGTAATTGATCTCGCTGACAAATCCAGGCAATGGCCCATCGGCACTGATTCTAAGCTACATCCTCCACGGCCACATACCGTACTACATCGGCGGGCACCACGATGTCCTTCTCGACGCCAAGTTGAAGAAGAATCCGAATCTGCTACACCTCACGGAAGATTTGTACGCGCATTTCGCTGCGAGTCTTAGGTATTCCACGCAAGCACTACCTGTAAACACCCTTCTCGATACACTCATCCGACCGAATGCCGATACGGAGATAAATCCAAAGAGTTGTGTTGAATGGCGGTATGAGCCGGAAACGGCAGTCGAGCATGTTGTCATTGGAGATGCGCGGCATGCAGGCGGTCAGTGGGCGGATGAGCCTGTTGAGGCGAGCAAAGACATTGGAACGCTGAGTTATGCGGAACAATTGAGCTTGCCAGGGTACTCGTACCAGGAGCACGTAGCGAAGAGGCAGAAGGAGCATCAATGCGATTTTGTGAGGCCGTCGAGGGTCGAGGTTGCGGATTATTTGAGGGCGTATCCGGAGGCCGTGGGCATTGCGGATGCAGTATTTGCTGAGACGAAGGTGGATGGCGTGTATAGGACGAAAGATGGATTCATGATTGGGTCGTTGGGAATACGGTGTAAGCATTTGGTGTTGGCATCTGGGACGTTCTCGGTCAATATACCACCGCCAATATCGCTTGCTCCAGTTGCGCAGTTGGATACTGTACACGAGCCGTTACTCGTCATCGGATCTGGCTTCTCTGCAGCAGATGTCATCATCTCTGCGCCTCCAACTCGCCGCATCATACACGTCTACCAATGGGCCCCAGATAAACGCCCATCACCACTACGCGGATGTCACCACACAGCGTACCCCGAGTATGCCACAGTCTACCGCCAGATGAAGCTCGCCGCGATAACTTCCAACAAAACTCGTGCCGCCAAATCACCAGCTGCCCGACGCAAATCCAACCCCTATCAAAACCGCGACTGGACCCTCTACGAAGGCCTCCCCAACGCGGAAATCATCTCCGTATCCACATCTCCAGAAACCAAAACCGCAACAATAACCCTCCGCCTCGCATCCGGCGAGCAAATCACCCGCTCAGTCGGTGGCCTCGCCTACGTTGTCGGTCGGAGAGGAACCCTCTCATTCCTCTCTCCTACTCTGCGAGCAGAAATCCTCGAGCACGACACCAACAACCTCATCTCCGGCCGCACGCTGCGGGCGAAAATCGAAGCCTCAACACTCGAAGTCGCCCGCAACGTCTTTCTCACCGGGCAGTCTGACCGGCGACTCACTAATCCGCCACGCCGTGGGTGGATGCGTATTTGCCGCCGGACGAATCAGCAGTGTCATTCCATCGGCATATAGTCCGGACTGCACGCCCTCGCCGACATGTTCCTCGCCCGCGTCTGATGAGGATGGGGATGTGGAGCTGGGGTTGGAGAAGACGAGTACGCGGGAACGAACGAACGGACATGACGGATTTGTATCTTGATCAGCAGGACGTTGGGTAGGAGTGTTGCAGGTGGCAAGGGA